ATGCGACGCATTAAATTAAAAAGTTGCAGGTATTCAGGAATACATTTCAGTTGGCAAGAAAGGAGTGTATTAATAAATTGAAGTTCGTGCTAAAGATTTAAGTTGATTTTTTTTTAATTAGCGTAGATAGTTACTGTCTCAGTAAAACTTTTAATGTCATTTTTCTCCTGTGAATCTAATTCTAACTCTTTGTAAAAATAATGTAACTTTGTACTTTTTGTTTGTGTAACTTCGGAGTACATCCTTTGACATTATTGGTATTACTGGGAGAAACATCGTTCCCTAGAAGGAAAAAAAAATTCCAGATACTTTCGGTAGATAACATTTAAACCGCAAAGAGGTAGAATGAGGGTCGTGCATGTGAAGCCTAAAGATTGAGGGACAAGGATTAAATACGAAAAGAACGTCTAATTAAACTCGTAAAACTGTGCAAACGTTTATTTGTAAATTAACAGTCTCTAGGTGGGAAAAAATCGGAAAAAAACAACTCGGCAAAATTTGCTTCAGTGTTCAATTTCAGACGCCCTTTACTCCGTTTAGGTCAAAAGGAAGATAGCGCGAAATACAGAAATGAAAATAAGGGCGTTACATTTGGACGTCTTCGTGGAATATATTACAATATTGACTAGTAAAGCGGACATTGTTTTCTAACTGAATTGAGGCTCACGTTTTAAATCATTTGATGTCGGTGTGAATAGTAAAGGATATAGTGTGAATGGTAAATGCCGTTGGAACGAACGGGGCGGCTAGGAGCTCGACGTCAGAGGACCTCGACGCCGAGCCTGCCACGACGCGATGGTGGCGTGCTCGCTGGGCTGCGTCCGGTTCCGCTCCGGGGCAGCGCTGCCGCGTCGGCGCCTTCCCTCACCGTCCCTTCACGCTCTTTACCCCTGTTGCCCATTGGCGCACATCCTCTTCCTCGTCGCGTCGCTCCGCCTCCACCCATCCCCTTAGTTGAGCTCCTCCTTCACCACGATTTCCCTCTTCGCGTCCTTCAACCTCGCGTTTCGGCGCGTGACCCTATGTGCACAGGAAGACCCGTGTGTAATTGATAAATTGTCTCTTCTTTTGCAGAGTGTTCAAGAAGAGCTCCCCCAACGGAAAGGTGAGTGGCGGCGCGCGCGGGGCGGGGCACATCCGGTCGCGTCCCCGCCGGTAATTGCAGAGGAGAAGTCGGGTGCCTTCCGGTGCATCGCGGGGCTCGAGACACACGCCGAAGTAATGCTGGGCCCTCCGGAGTAAAATTGCCTCTCGAGTGGCACGACACGGCGGCGCGGGGGAGGATGGGGGATGGCTCTTTGCAGTTGGTGGTGTCCTACCCGTGCGAATCAACCTATATGATATTGTAATGGACATCGTTGGTGACACGTGGTCAAGGGGTTACAAATATTTTCTTAAATGAAATAAGACAAGATAATATTCATGTACATTAATAGCTTTATTAATTTTTGAATCCGTGATTAAAAATAGTTTAAAATTGTTTCGGATATTATTATTATTATTATTATTATTATTATTATTATTATTTATTAGTTGGTTGCCGGCGTGTTGCTGCAATAGAGAAAAAATTGTGGAAATATCGTTTAAAATTAGAATGAGTTATCTCATTTAATTAGAAATGATAGAAAGAATGATGTTTATTTTCTTGCCGGTAATGAATACATTTTCTCGAATTAAATGATAAATAAGGGAGTGGTATAAATAGTATTTATTATATTTTGTTGACTTAACAATTCAAGTCATTTGTGTAGACAGTTTTTTTTGTTTTTCCGTCTTCTGCAAAACCTTCTTTTTTTTTTTTTGCTGACGGACTCTCCAGTATCCAACATACATGTCAGTCAAATATTAAGACATCTTCCCTTGAATTTTAAATGACACTTCGCTAAACTATTTCCCAAAATTTCAACTATTTATTGCTTTCTATCGCCTTTGCTAAAAAAGCAGCCTTCATATCTTGTGATGAAATATGATTCAAATACGTGTTGTGGTCTTTCTTCAAAACGTTCGTCTCTCTGTCCGTCTATCTGGTGTCTGTGAACACCACTAGAGCCTAAACCATGCATAGGATTTTCCCCATATTGAATAAAGCCCTGTCCATCTGGCTCGAGTCAAAACTTTGAGATTTTGAAAAATATTCTGCAAAGTTTGGGGGTTCTTTACATAAAGCCTTCCAAATATTTTCAAAATTTTCTCAAGAACGGCCTTTATATATATATATATATATATATATATATATATATATATATATATAATTTTTTTAAAATTTCTTCTAAGAATAGAGTAACATACTTATAAAAGTGACATAGGTCCGATTTTCACGGTTAACTCTGAATTTTCGAACATTTCAAAAGTATACATTTTTTTCGGCGTCTTTCTACAACTTCAAAATTAGAAATCTAGATTTTTCCTTCAAATAGTGAATCAAATTCTTCCTTCTTTGTAGTGAGTTCTCACAATATGACGTGCTATTTTTGCAATTTTAAAAATTACAAGAACAAGATTTTCTTAAAAACAGTTTCAATTTTTTTCTTTAAACTTTTGGTAGAGATAGCGCTAAATGTAGCTCCGCCTAATGGAGTTAAAATAGAATGCCTATATCCTTCGCGCAAATGTAAGCAATATTGACAACAAATATTTATTTTTATATATTAAGTTATTAAATATTGTTATTTATAGATTGACTTTTAAGAAATATTACCCACGTTCTAAATTTAGAGGTCAGTTCGATAAATATAATCTGACAATTATTACGATAAATGACTTATATTATCATAAAAGTCCATTAGTACTCATTAAATACGCGTTTAAATTACTCTGTTAGTGTACCGTATGAATTACTTGCTGGTGATTCTTAAATGCACTGGATACTTAAACTGTCATGCATTAAAAAAAGAAAGGTTCACATATACAAAATTTCATGCTAGAAAATCTACGAAAAAGGAGTCTTATATTCCGGCGATACAGCCTTCATTACCGCAATAACTGCTCTGCAGCAACCAAAATTATACTTAACTTTAAATTAAATCGAAGAAATAATTAAAGTTACTCATGTTGCGACGACGACACTGTCTTAAAAACAGTTTCAGGTGTTGAAAAGGTCTTTCATATTTCATTTCTTTCATTTCATATTTGACTTACCAATTAATAGTAGTAGAAAATAATGTTATACTCCCGTTCAAAAGGTCCCCACACCCAATAGACTTGTGTGTTACCTCCATACGAGATGAACTGGTCTTATTGCAATTTCAAAATGATAATCGCAGCAACAAATATTTGCAGGTTTTGATGATAATAGTTACATTTAGTACAGCTACATATTTACGCTTTTTTGCTAATCACAAAAATGCACAATGCACATTTGGATTAGCACACATTTTAAATACAAAAATGCAGATATATTCCCAATTAGTTCCGAAAATTCTGCCGCAACATCTTTTACAACGCATTTAATTTTTCCCCGGATTTCCTTAACACTTCCATATTTTTCTCACCTAATTTGTGAAGAGATTAAAACTTCTGAAACTGTCTAATTTGTGTTCAATTCTACTACTGCAATTGCATTATTAATTGTTTTGTATGTGAATCTAGTGTTGCATGCGAATCTAATCTTAAAAGGAACCGTTTTTGTACATTTCACACCACTCATACAACACACTCTACTCGCACAACACACTCTACTCGCACAGCACACTCTACTCGCACAGCACACACGCTCACTACGGAGAACACAAAGGAGAGAGTGCGTGCGCGGTACGCACACCACACGCACGCGCGCATACCGCGCACTTTTTAATTGGCTCTGGCAAATAATTTTTTTGCAAGGATTGGAACTTTCTTTTGGTTTTCATCCGCTTCTTATATTACGCGCGCCTCCATCTTTGTCGGGATTAGCCTTTAGGAGAGGAGCGCTGGCGAAAACAACAGCTCTCCGTTGAGTGAAACGAATCTGCTGAGAATCTGAAGAGAAGGGAGATATCGATATGGTTAAGGCTTCCCTAATTTACTCCGTACCTTCAAACCTCAATTACAAGGGTTAATTTTCCCAGCCGTTCCTCAGCGGGATTACTAATCAGTGGGCGAATTTGAGGAGAGAGCAATTAAAATGCTCGTTATTGAGTGAGTGGACTCTATGGAGAGCACCTAATTACGGGACGCGGTTCGATCGCGGCCAGCAAACACTCTCGTGATGAGTGAACGCATTCTACCTGGTTAATGGGGGCATTAACACGACCCACTCGATTATTGCGACTGCGCTGAAAACGTGTTCCTCGTGCAGTTCTGTTGCAACGAGACCTTTTCTAGTGTTATGTGTTTGAAGCATACGTTTTACTTCTCTAAGGACATTGGACAGCAGAAGAATCAAATACTTTTGAAACTTCTACTTTTGTATGTTGTGTTCACAATGTCCATTCATACGAAAAACACTAGTGAAATAAAATAATTTTACTCGAGTTTTACGAGAACAGTATATTTATCTAAAATTAAATATTTCTAGCACAGATATTTCGCTGTTTTGAACCATTAAGTTGAAATACAATTTTTATTTATTGTCACGTACTTTATTCTCGTGCATTTATTTTACGTTCATTTTCTCCGGAGGGCCAGCTTATTTTCATTTGAGACACATTGCATTAATATGGATTTTTTTATTGGAAGGCATAATATTAAATTTAATTGGACAATTAACAAAATTCAACACAATTCAGTAATTAGTAGTACTGTAGTTCATTGTTAATAGTGATGCATTCAAAATAGGCTTTCACACGTCTGGGTAATCACGTTAGTTTCACATTTAGATGTTAGTAAGTCTCTCTGTGGATATGCATGTGCACGAAGCCGTGAAAATAAGTCTGGACAGTAGAATTGTAATTTCCGATTGTTTGAGAAATCGTGCGCCCTTGCGTACAACGCCCGAGTGCTGGCAACTCCCAGTAATTACAGCTGGAAGTTGTTCAGTGCTCGGGCTATGTGGGAGTGTTGAGACTCTTGTTCTGTTGCAGATCACCGTGTATCTGGGGAAGAGAGACTTTGTGGACCACATTACCCACGTTGACCCCATCGGTAAGTTTGAATTGGTCCACGACTTTTTTCTTAACAAGATTGAAGTTCTCGAACTAAGGTTGGAGAAGTTCAGATGTTATGCCCCAAGCTTATAATGATGAGTCAGCCCATTTTGCATTCATGAAACCCTTCATTCTTGTTGGGGATAAAGAGCTAGCGAACTTCGTCAAATTTAGCTCCCATTTTCGTATTAAATATCGACCTGTGGAAAGCTTGGTAAACTTCAAAGAATCATATTGAATGCATGGTGTGATATTTCATTTTTTTGAGAACTTCATTCTTATCGAATATCTCAGATCTAATGGTATTAGGGAGATTGTCCATACAGAAATTGTATTGCGATATATTATTTTTTAATTGACACCTTTATAATGTCCTATTTTTAAATCAATGCAGAAAACTGCTCACAGTTCAAAAATCCGTATTCGTACAACTATTTTGTTAATTTCATTCTGTGTACATGAAGTAAACTTTAAATTTCGACAACAGGTGTGATTCGTATGTATGTTCGTATGTATTTCGAACGTATGTTCGAAAGAGAAAAATAAGAAGAAAAAAACCTATAGTGAGACTGCAGTATTTCTTACTAGAATAGATTCTATGGGTGATAGATCAATCGAGGTCTCCAGGAGCAAGGCCTTCCATTTTAAATTAAAAACAGACTATGAATCTAAAACAAAAAACTAATGAAGCATGAATGCAAACATTTTATGAAACGTATCATGGAGGGCAGCCAAAACGATGTGCGATTTCTCACGTCAAGAAGGAAAGAGCAGCAAAAATGCTGATTAATAAACCAACACAAAGTGGTTTTTCAAAAGGTAGCAAGTAGTACACCGCTCAAGAACTACAAACTCGCGCAGAAAACGGAAATAAAAGAAATATTATAACATAAGCAATCTTTACTAATGCTCCAATTTGTTTGCTGTTTTTATACGCACAGGAGAACAGATCCTTAGACACTAGGAACGTCAAAACGTTGTTCCATAACCCATCACGTGCCTAGCAAATATATAATGGCGGACGGTCTCATCCTCGGAGCCTTTGTGTGTACGCTTGTCTGGTGTGTATGTGTG